GACCAGTGCTCGATTGCCGTAATAAGTTCCGCAGTGGACTTCATGGACTTTTTCGAGGACGCGCTAGGTTTGGTTCGGGCCTAAGCACTTCGCTAGAGGGCCACTGTATGTCCTCTTATATAGGTCTCTATGAAGGAGACTATATCTGGCTGCTTGCATTCGTAGTTTCCTTGCCTTTTTTGTCAATAGGGAGTGTGCCACCCTGCAATATGCGATAATGCGATTGCACCAATCCCAAGTTAAGTTAATGGGTCTTACCTCAATGTGGTCTAGTGATGAGTTGAGGAGGTGGACTATGTTTTTATCTCCAATTGTGATGATTTTGGTAGCTGCGGCTAGTTTGGCGAGGCCATCTACTTCGGCATTCTGCGCTCGTGGGATTTGATCGGTCTAGCATTCGTCAAATAGAGTTAATAGCTTGCAGATTTTGGTCTAGTATTTTTGCAATCTTTGTTCCTTGATTTGGAAAGTCCCTATGACTTGGTTGACTACGAGCTAGGAGTCACAATAGAGTTTCAACCGTTTCGCCCCATATTTGAGTGCTAGCCTTAACCCTACAATTACGGCCTCATACTCGGCCTCATTGATAGTTATATCCAGGCACTTTAGGGACTGGAAAATTACTTCACCTGTTGGGACCTTGAGTACTAGTCCCAGTATGGACCTTGATACATTGTATAGGACCCAGAGGTCTTGTGTTTGGAGGGAAGCTTTGACATCTTCCCTTTCGACTTCAGGCATTATTTTTGCACTGAAGTCGGCGACGAAGTCGTCGATCACTTGTGACTTTATCATCATTCACGGCTGGTATGTGATATCGTGCTCACTTAGCTCGATGGCCCATTTGGCAAGTCTTCTCAATAGCTCAGGTTTATGCAAAATGCTCCTCAGGGGAAAAGTTGTGACGACCAAGATGGGGTGGCATTGGAAATAGGGTCTAAGCTTTCGTGAAGCTACAACCAAGGCCAGAGCCAATTTTTCCAGGTGTGGGTACATCATTTTGGCATTGACAAGTGTATGCTAATGTATTAGATATGAGATTGCGTACCTTTGTTTTTGCGGATCAAGACTGCGTTGAATGCTACCTCGAATACGGCTAGATAGATGGGGAGTTACTCCCTAGGTTTGGTTTTTGAAAGCAAGGGTGGTGATGATAGGTATACCTTTATTTCTCGCAGAGCTTGGACGCACTCGGAAGTCAATTCGAGGTTGTTTTCCTTCTTGAGTATGCCAAAATATTTGTGACATCTATTCGACGACCGCGAAATGAACTTTGATAGGGCGATGATACGACCATTCAACCTTTGGACTTGCTTTTTGGTGGTTAAGAGTTCTGGTATCCCATCGATAGCTTTGATTTGGCCAGGGTTGATCTTGATCCTTCACTGTGACACCAGGAAACCCAAGAATTTTCCTGAGGCTGCGCCAAACGTGCATTTCTTTGGGTTCAGCTTCATTCTGTATTGTTTTAGTATGTTGATAGTGTCTTTCAAATGATCAATGTGATCCTCTGCCCTTTTATACTTGACCAACATATCGTCTATATATACATCCATGGTCTTATCAAGCTGGTCTTTGAATATCTTGGTTACCAACCTTTGATAAGTAGCCCCCACATTTTTAGTCCAAACGGCATGACCCGATAGCAATACGTTCCTTGGTGGGTTATGAACGTGGCTTCTCCTGGTCTTCTTCTTCCATGTGAATTTAATTATAGCCTGAGTAAGCATCCAAGAAACCCAATAGTTTGTGCCCGGCTGTTACATCGATGAGTTGGTCGATATGCGGTAACGGGAACGAATCCTTCGGACATGCTTTGTTCAAATATATGAAATCCACGCACATACGCCATTTCCTATTTTTCTTTTTGACCATCACTATGTTGGTAATCCATTGGGGTACTTTGACTCCCTAATGGAGCCATTTTCTAATAGTTTTTTCACCTCCTTGCAGATTACATCATTGATGGCGGAGTTGAATTTACTTCTAACTTTCCTTACTAGGGGTGGAATGGGTCGATGTTTAACTTGTGTGTGTCGATTTCCTTTGGGATGCTCGGCATATCTGCATGGCTAAAAGCAAACAAATTTGCATTCGCTATTAAGAATTGACTGAATTTACCTGGTTCTTGGAGTTTACAGCCGATAAAGGCCTTCTTGCTATGATCGTTGAGGTTCAATTGAACGGGTTCAAGGTCTTCTATGGTCAAACTTGCAGCCTCGACCATGTCGGGATCTATGATGACATCCCCGGTTTCTTCTTGCTTCGACCTCAACCCTATTGATTGATATGCCTCTTTTTCTTTGTCTTTTTTCTATTGAATAGTCGTGTTGTCCATGGCAATGCGGTAGCATTCCCCGGACGTGTGTTGTTCTTTGCGTATGCTCATGGTGTTGAGAACTTAATTACTTGGTATAGGCTGGATGGGATAGCTCTCATGGGATGTATCCATGGTCGTCCCACTATGGCGTTTTATGTAGTGGCCTGGTCCATGATGTGGAATGTTAACTCTAGAGTCACGCCGCCGATCAAGACTGAGAGTGTATGTCACGCCCCAACCTCAGGAGGCGCGACCTGCGCTCAATCGAGTGAACCCAACTGAGCAAGCCTTACCATACACTTCCTACGCACCTCGATATGAATAAAGAAACCATACTTTTGTTTATCCATTTAGACGGGGAAAGACAACGCATTCTACATTGATAGTTCATTTTAAACACCACATTAAACCGTAGATGAGTTAGTTTCCAAGATCCCCATAGAGTTACAATTTATAGGCAACATAAGTTTAGAATTACAACATGGTTCATAGACCCATCCAACCCCCGTGCATAACCCACACATATGTCTACGGAGCCTCTAGGATACAAAAGATGAGTTTGACAACGCCGGCAACAAGGCCCCGGCTATACCTCAAAAGTGAAAGTCCACAATACAAAGATATACAATATAGCCCCTTGAAGGAGAAAGTGGCTCACCAAGATCTTGAGAAGAGGGATGCTTCGCTACACATGACCGGCACTATCCGCTATGGAGCCACCTACATTCATTTAAAAAAATGTAGCGCCCCCGACAAAAGGGACGTTAGTACCATGGAATAGTACTAGTATGTATAACTAAACACCATCAAATTAGAAAGAACTTTCATACACAAATAAGGAAATCACAGGTATTACTCCAAAGCTTTAAACGATCACAACATTATCAACATGAAAGAATTACACAACCTTCACATCATGTTTCCATAGCCTTTAGTTGGGCATTTCATACTATTCTACATCGTTCAAATTACCACCGCTATCTTAAGCGGAGTCCGATCTCGACCCGATCAGCTAGGCCTTCTCCCGGAGACATTACCAATATTCTATTCACACTTTCCAGTTTCAATCATCAATGCATAACCGACATGTGTATATGTCATGGCATCCGAACACGGCCCGATCGGCTAGGCCGCCTTACCGAGGCATTACCATTTCCATTATTCATCTTACTCCAATCTTTGGTTACACATGTATTAGTTTACCGGCACTTGGGCCACAATTTTCACATTCCATAATTCACATTTCACATTGTTCCCATTTTCAACATTAGGTTTGTAATTCAAGAGAGTATGGCACACAAGAGCAAATAAGGTTGTAGGCGTAGATGAGACTTCATGTAAATGGCACAACAACACACTTCAATTTCAATCTAAGGTATAAGCATTTCAATACATGATTCATAGTCCTTGCACCTTTTCAAATTATCAAGAATAGCATGTTGATCAATTTGAGACACAGTTTCCACGCATATAAGGTTGAATCACCAAGTCAAGTGAAATAGCAATCAATACAACAATTCAATTTAATCTTATCGTAATCACACAACCAACGATGAAGCTCAATTTCTAAAAGACGGGGTTTTAGCCATACATACCTCAATAAAGCTTTCCTTATTCCTTACAAAATTTTGGAACTTTTAGCACTTCGATCTATTGTGTAAGAATTACAAATTAAACCAAGAATTAGAGACGAGATTGAGATTCTAGCTTGTTTTGAGCATACTATCAAACACTAAAGGTGCATTGTGATCTTAGGCCCTTTTGAGAGAAATTTCTATCATTTTATACCCCAATTGCTTTCTTTTTAGTTCACTACCTCCAAATATTCTATGGTGTGATATGCATGCAAGAAATTCATTCTTATACCCCATGAATTACTTCATTAGTGATCCCTTATTGCTAATCATAGGAATAAGAGCTAAGGTAATGAAGTCTTACCTCTTGGGATGAAGATTTAGATGCCCTCACTTGATCATCTTCAAAGATTTGGCAAGGTTTCATGGAGTAATTTGATGGAAAGCACTTCCCTCTCTAAGACCCTCTGTCTCTCTCTCTCTCTAAAAGTATCAGGAAATATGCTCAAAATGAGTTATAACACCGAATATATCGATAAGGGGTCGGGCTTAAAATTTAGAAAATTGGAGCCCCGAGTCAGGTCTGCGATCGCATTTGTGATCGCAAAGTAGAAATGCGGCCCGCATAATGGACCACAAAAGTGCTCCCAAAATCTGAACATTCTGTCTAGGTATGCGGCAGAAATGCGGTTCGCATACCCATTCTGCGGTCGCATAATGCACCGCAGAACTGCTCCTTACAAAATCCCAAGGAAATTATATGACGACTATGCGGTCCGCATATTGATTATGCGGTCCGCATATTGATTATGCGATCGAATAATGAACCGCATATTTAACCTCAAATTTGACTAACATATTGACTCACTTTGCGGTGACTATGCCCCCTATGCGGTCCGCATACCTGATATGCGACCTCATTTTCGACCGCAACATCGCACTTCTCTGGAAAACATTATTTCTTGACTTTTTAATGCACTTTTCAATCCAAAGGGGTTCGAACCATGGCGAGCTTGCTCGCCGCGAAGAATTTTTATGAATCCTAACACATGCTCCTAACTTGGCACCACGGGATTCGGGGTTATGAGTAGGAAATTCACGGGGCCTTACAGTGTAATTTCCCCGGATATTTGCTCAATTGCATTATTAAAACTGGTTAGCGTGATGCAACACAACACTAACTTATCCTCGAGCCTCATTTGGGTAAGGACTAGAGGATGGATAATGTATGCACCACTTCCATCGTCCACCATGATACGTTTGACATCGGTATCTAAAATGCGTAAAGTAATAACAAGGGCATCATTATGAGGGAAAGTCAAACCATTGGCATCCGACTCATCGAAGATGATACTTTCTTCGAGTCCGTAGTACTGTTCGCGGGTGATAGACCGATTGAGTTTGTGAGTGGTGGTAAAATTCACATTATAGATAGAGGCGTTATTGCTACCGCCGATGATCATGTTGATGGTACGAGCTGGCGATGGTAGGCCTTGATGTTCAGGTCCTCTGGCAAAGTTAGTCCTTCCCTTATCGCTCAACAACTCTTTGAGGTGCCCTTGCCGTAACATGTTTACGACTTCCTGTGTGAGAGCGATGCAATCTTCTATTTTGTGTCTGCTTTCCTGGTGGAACTCACAGAGGGCATCGGAGTTTCAAGTGTTCTGATTTGATCTCATCTTTGGCGGCCACTTCACTTTTGTTTCGAGTTTCTCAAGAGCGTAGACTATTTTTGTAGGCGACACACAAAATTATGAGCATATAATAAAGGAGGCATACCTCTTTCGTTCCGATGAGTCCTTGTCCTTGGTCTGGATGGGCCTTCTTTATAACGAAGGGAGGGTGTGGCGGCCGCCCTGATATATGGTTGGTGTTGTTCCCTGTTAAGTTGCAGAATCGGATGATCTCTTCTGGTACTATCTCTTCGTTCTTTTCTGGATTCGGCTTGTACTGAGGTTAGCTAGTGAGTTAGTCCGTTGAGATCGTCCTCGTCTGCTCGGGCCTCAGCATAATAAGCATTGTGGATTTCATCCCAAGTGATTATAGGATACTTCATCAATCGGCTCAATAGTTTCCTAGTTGCTCTTGAACCCTCTCTACTCAGCCCGTTCTGAAAAGATGCGACTGCCATCCCTTCAGTTACATTTTGCAAAGTCAGTCTTACTCTGTTGAACTGGGCGAGAAAGTCCCTTAGTCCCTCTCCCAAGGACTACCTAATAGAAAATATTTCATTCACTCTCGCCTCGGCCTTCTTCGCTCCAGCATGGGCGGTTACGAACTTATCGGCCATTTCTTCAAAAGTTTCTATGGAGTGGGTTGGTAGCTGTGATACCATGTTAATTCCCCTCCCGTGAGGGTTTCGCCAAACTTCTTCAACCAAATAGAGGACATTTGTTCCTTGGCGAGGTTATTGCCTTTCGCGACGGTGACGTAATGAGTCACCTGATCTTTAGGATCGGACGTTCCATCGTATATCCTAAGGTAGGGTGGCATTTTAAAGGTCTTTGGTATGGCATGTGGGACTGCATCATCGTTATACGGCTGCTCTATGAACCTGCTGGCATCCCTTTTTGGCAGCAGCTTGAGAGCGCCCAGTATCTTGTCAAATCGTTCTTGGTGTTCTTTCATCTGGTCTTGGAGTGCCTTGTTCTTATTCTCCATTCTTCCATCCTCTTTAGAATGGCAGCGAAGACGTTGTCACTTGTAAAAGCAGTAACGTTGTGAATTATACCTACCGTTCGAGGGAGGCTCGGTTGCACTGCTCGTCTATTTGTTGTATCATACAGGCCCTTGCAATTTCTGCAGTCACACTTGGAGCGGGTTTGTTGAGGACCCTTGCTAGTGTGTCGATCAGCCATGCCTCAAGGAGGTTTTTCACAGCTGGGGCGTCGCCTCCTATGTAGACGTGGAGGCCCCTTTTTCGCTGGATTTTGTTATGATGCGGTGCGGGGGTGGTGACCTCTCTCGCCTAGGACACGTGCTAGGCGTCGTGTCCTCACCTACTATTTCACATCATTTGTTGATGATATTCGTGAGGTTGGTTGGGAAGCAAATTGTTATTTTTATCCTTTCTCCTTGGTTACCTGCCATGTAGGATTTTATTTACACAATGAAAGGAGATTTCGGGGTTTTTTGACGTTAGTGACTTGCATTAATTGTATATCTAGGGGAAACTAAATATTTACCTAAAAATATTTCCACAGATGGCGCCAAATTGTTGGACCAAAAATATAGATCTTGGTTCAAATAATTAAGTTTATATAAATAAGGGTTAATCTTAGCTAACAATAATATCCCTAGATGGGGCTCCAGAAGAAGCAACAGATACTATGTAGATATAGTCGGACAGTGGTAGTAGCATTCAATAAAATTTCTAGAAATCAGAGGCAATAATGTAGCATTCAATATCAATAAATAGCAATAAATGACATTTAAATAAATAGAATGAAAGAGTCACCCAAGAAAGGATTGAATAAGTGGATGTTCTTTCTGACAATGATGAATGATAGATAATCCCTTGTTCCCTTGAATATTTGAGTCATTCTCGTATCTTGTGGAAAAGTATAGACAAGAATCTTACTGAAAAGATGATGTTTGTATCTTAGAAAATGAGATATGATTCGCTTTCTCGAGTCAAAGTATATTTTTTACAAATGATTATCACATGTCCCCTATCATAGTATCCGTTTCTATTTATAAGGAACATGCTCCTAAAAAATCCTAATAATATAAGTGCAGAGAACATCCACTATAATATTCTCTATAATATCCTATCTTGGAACTAGCCATTATTATTCCGTTAAAAGTACTCGACCTCGGCCTCGGCCTCGACCTTTGTTGACTCCTCGACTTCGTCCCTTGCTGACTCTTCGACCACAGACTTCACCACTTCTTCGGCCATTTCGACAAACGACGACTTAAGAAATCTTCCCTCAGTACTATCTTGGTTGTAAAGATATGAGCAAACCTCACTCGCCATCAAAATAAAATTTTCAGAATTAACAATTTGAATGTCTAAAGATGAAAAGTATAGAAGATCAAGTATGAGCAAGAAACAAACCAAAATTCAGCAAAATGCTTTTTGGTATTATAAATGGACTATTATCGCTTTATTTATAAACAGACAATTACTTAAGATGTTTAATTTGGGAAATAGAGCCACATAATTTTTGGACCAAAAATATAGATCTTGATTCAAACAATGAAGTTTAAATAAATAAGAGTTAATCTTAGCTAACAACAACATCCCTAGATGGGGCTTATGAAGAAGCAACAGATGGATTCAATATCAATGAATAGCAATAAATTACATTTAAGTAAATAGAATGAATGAGTCACCCAAGAAAGAATGTAATAAGTGGATGTTCTTTATTACAATGATGAATGATAGATAATCCATTAAATATTTGAGTTATTCTCAAATCTAGTGAAAAAGTATAGACAAGAATCTTTGTGAAAAGGTGATATTTGTATCTTAGCAAATGAGATCCGATTTTCTTTCTCGAGTCAAAGTGTGTTTTTTACAAAAGAATATCACATGTCCCCTATTATAGTATCTTCTTACTTTTTTAGGGAACATGCTCCTAAAAACCTTAATAGTACAAGTGTATAGAATATCCACTATAATATTCTCTGTAATATCCTATCTTGGAACTAGCAGTTATAACTCCGTCAAAAAATACTCGACCTTGGGCTCGATCTTTGTTGATTCCTCGACTTCGTCCCATGTTAACTCTTCGACCACAGACTTCCCCGCTTCTTGGGCCATTTTGACAAATGACGACTTATGAACTCTTCCCCAAGTACTATCTTGGGTTAAATATTCAATAGATAGATTTCGATCCAGACAATAATATTCTCATATGTAACTAAAAGCAACATTTTGGCAACAATAGTTTCAAGAGAGAACGTCCAATATTGCTGCTATAACTGTAACAGTAGCAACAACGAATATCTAGAGAAAGAACGTTTCAACATACTTTAACAAACGCACCTTTCTAGCGGTTAGAAGTTTGAGATGTACTGCTTTTAAGTAGTGAATAAATTAAATAATCATTTCACTTGAAATACTTTTCAAAAATATTTTATAATATTCGAATAATAATTAAATTATTATTTACAANACCCCCAACTTAATTCCCCAAACCAGCTCCCCGTCATTCTATTTTGTTTTTCTACTTTTATTGGATTACAAATTTGGGCATCATGATCAGTATTATTTGCGGTTCATCCCTCCGTATCACACGACTCAATAAGATGCACGGCTAGAAATTCGGCAAAAATCGACCAAGTTCGATCGATCAATTTTGGTCAGTCAAAAAATCGGCCAAAAAATCGATCAAAGTTGATCAGTTTTTCAAAATATTTTATTTTTTAATTTTTTTTACGAAACCGACCAAAGTTGGTCGGTTTTCTTTGGTGCAAAATTTTATTTTATTTTTGGGACCAAAATATTTGGTGCAAAAGTTGGTCGGTTTTCAAAATATTTTATTTTTGGGACCAAAGTTGAGTCCCGCAAAATTTATTTTTCAAGAAACCGACCAACTTTGATCAATTTTTCAATTAAAATAAATTAATATTAATATTAAAAAAATCGGCAAAAATTGCTCGGTTAATTCGGCCGGTCATTTTAAAAAACCGATCAACTTTGATCGGTAATTTATTTTTTAATAAAATCGACCAACTTCGGTCGGTTATTTTCGTGCGAAAATACAATTAAAGAGTATAAATTAAATAAAAGACAGTCTTAAAACAAAATGCACCAATGGTCTAGTGGTAGAATAGTATCCTGCCAAGTATAGACTCCGATTCGATTCCCAGATGGTGAATCTTTTGATTACATAATTAAAATACCGACCAACTTTGGTCCTTTTTTTTTTGCAATATTATTTTTTAAATTTAATTGACCGACCAAAGTTGGTTGGTAATTTCCGACAAACTTTGGTCGGTATGCCTTTCCGGCCATCAAAATACCGTTCACACGTAAATGGTCGTATTTTGGACGGTTATTGGCCAGTACTAACTAGCTTTGATCGATTTTTTTAGTCGGTTTTTGCCGAATTTCTAATAGCGATGGATTGCATAAATCTTAACACTCTATCTTTTTTTTGGCTTAATTTTAACCCTTCAGATAATTCTTTCAGCTGCCAAGAAATAGGCTTTAATTTATTAGTGTCGCCTGCCTTCAGTATTCAATTCTTTGGCAGTTAAATTTGAACCTATTAAATTCTCCAATTTATGGTAGAAACTATATGAGTCCGGAATCAAAGTAACGCAAAGTGTAACTCGAAGAACCAAAGTAACGTAAAAAAAAAACAAAGAACCAAGTAAATGTAGCACGTGACTAACATGCGCTATACCCTCTTGGTCAAACGTCCCAGGCTAACGGCCATCTGGTCAACTTTGATAGGATATAGCGCATGCTAGGCATATTCTATACCTGTCCTTTTACATGCCAACCTTATCTATAATAATTCCCCTGTACTTACAAATCCTTCCAACTGTTCATTTATCATCTACTTAAATCGGACCCGTATTCATGTAGAGCTAACATTTTATTATGTTGATACGA